CGAGGAGATGATCACAGCTCCTGAGCGGCAGCAGCTGGAGACCCTGAAACGTAACGTCAACAAGTGAGTCTGGAAAACTGCAGGCCCTGTGTACTTCCAACAGCTTCCGGATAGGTCCATCTGGATACCCTTCTCCAGGTTAACGCGGGCAGACCTAAACGCACACTCTTCCCCAGCCCAGTTAACAATTTAAGCCACCTGTTTTCCTAAACCAGCAGTTCTGAGCACATGCTCAGCTTTGTGCCTATTATCACACCTGTTCACCAAGCAGTATTGATTGTGCTTCAGTAATGTGCCTCAACTCTGGTCTCCATCGTGGTACCCAGGCAGGCCTTCCTTACCTCTTTCCCAGACCTGCATAGTGGCCTTCCTCTCCAAACCATTTCTTCCTTTCTCTCTCTCTCTCTCTCTCTTTTTTTTAAGATTTACTTTATTTCATTTGAAAGGCAGAATAACAGAAAAGAGGAGGAGAGACAGAGAGAGGGGTCTTCCATTTGCTGGTTCACTGTCCAAATTGTCCACAACAGCCAGGGCTGGGCCAGTCTGAAGCCAGGAGCCTAGAACTCCAACTGGGTCTCCCTATGGGTGACAGGAACCCAAGCAATCAGGCCATCTTCCACTGCTTTCCCAGGCAAGTTAGCAGAGAACTGGATTAGAAGAGGAATAGCCAGGAGTAGAACCAGGCTCATATGGGATACACAGGCAGCCATTAACCCGCTGGGCCACAATGCTGGCCCTTCCATAACTATTGTTTTATACTGCTTTAGTATTTCCTTATTTCATTTTTGGGCTGTTCAATTCTAGTGTTTACAAAAAACAACTGATTTTTGTGTCTTGTATCCTGAAACTTGACTAAATTCATTTATTCTAATCAGTTTTTGTGGATTCTTCAAGGTTTTTATATATAAGGGGTCTTCAGAAAGTTCATGGAAATGTGAATTATGCAAAAAACTGCACATAGATTTCAAAATTTCTTGACACCAAAATCAACTTATCTTTTCCATGAGGTTTTTGAAGTCCCTCCTATAGGATCATGTCATCTAGGAATAAAGAATAGTTTTACTTCTTTCTTTTCATTTTGGATGTTTCTTGTTTTTCTTGCCTGATTGCCCTACCCAGAACCTCCAGAAAAAGGTTTCATTTCTTTTTTTTTTTTTGACAGGCAGAGTGGACAGTGAGAGAGAGAGACAGAGAGAAAGGTCTTCCTTTTGCCGTTGGTTCACCCTCCAATGGCCGCCGCGGCCGGCGCGCTGCGGCCGGTGCACCGCGCTGATCCGATGGCAGGAGCCAGGAGCCAGGTGCTTTTCCTGGTCTCCCATGGGGTGCAGGGCCCAAGCACTTGGGCCATCCTCCACTGCACTCCCTGGCCACAGCAGAGAGCTGGCCTGGAAGAGGGGCGACCGGGACAGAATCCGGTGCCCCAACCGGGACTAGAACCAGGTGTGCCGGCGCCGCTAGGCGGAGGATTAGCCTAGTGAGCTGCGGCACCGGCCAGGTTTCATTTCTATTTATAGACATGGAAGAACAGACCTCCTAGTCTGATTCTGGATCTTGGGGAGAGCTTTCAGTCTTTCATCCTTATGTCGTTGTCTGTGAGTTTGTCCTGGGTGACTTTTACCAGCTTAAGGAAGTTCCTTTCTCTTCTTAATCACCATTCTTTATGCTTCAGCCACTCTCAGCTTCTCCATATATGAAAACACACTAAGTCCCTTTATACTTGTGCCTTTACATGTGCTATTTCTCCTGGTTGCAAGTTAGACTGCTGCTTCCCATAGGACAGGGCTCCATCTTATGCATCCTCAGCTGTCTCCACAGGGTGCACACACAGGAGACGCTCAGTAAATGGGAGAATGATCTGTTGGTTCTCCTGCTTGCTGCCCACTACTTTGAGAGGTAACCACGCAGCTGCCCTGGCCACAGCTACCATCTCCAATCTAAATATGCTAACGAGGGGCAGGCGTTTGGCACAGTGTTAAGACACCTGTGTCCAATATTGGAGTGCCTGAGTTTGAGTCTTCACTCCATTCCTCAGTCTAGCTTCCTACTAATGTACACCCTGGGACCCAACAAGTACTTGGGTCCCTGCCACCCACAAGGGACACCTGGATTGAGTTCCGGGCTCCTGGCTTCAGCCTGGTCTAGCCCTGCTGTTTTGGGAATTTGGAGAGTTGAACCAATGGATGGGAGATCTCTGTCTCTTTCAAGTAAATAAGAAAAATTGGGGGCTAGCATTGTGGTGTAGCAGGTTAAGCTACTGCCTGTGATGCCAGCATCCCATGTGGGTGCCAGTTCAACTCCTGGCTGCTCTACTTCTGATGCACTTCCCTGCTAACGTGCCTAGGAAAGCAGTGGAGAATGGCCGAAGTGCTTGGGCCCCTGCACCCACTTCTGACTCCTGGCTTCAGAATGGCCCAGCTCTGGCTGTTGTGGCCATTTGGGGAGTGAATCAGCAGATGGAGGATCTCTCCCTGTCTCTCCTCCTCTCTAACTCTGCCTTTTAAATAAAATAAATAAATCTTTTCAAAAAAGAGACAGAAAACTCTATAACAAATAATAAGATAATGGCTGGCACCACCGCTCACTTGGCTAATCCTCCACCTGTGGTGCCCACACCCTGGGTTCTAGTCCCGGTTGGGGCGCCGGATTCTGTCCCGGTTGCCCCTCTTCCAGGCCAGCTCTCTGCTGTGGCCAGGGAGTGCAGTGGAGGATGGCCCAAGTGCTTGGGCCCTGCACCCCATGGGAGACCAGGAGAAGCACCTGGCTCCTGGCCTTGGATCGGCGCAGCACACCAGCCATAGTGGCTATTTGGGGAGTGAACCAACGGAAAAAGGAAGACCTTTCTCTCTGTCTCTCTCTCTCTCTAACTCTGCCTGTCAAAAAAAATAATAAGATAAAATAACTATAAAAAGTTTTAAACATATGCTAATGAAAATTCAGTCTGGGCAAATGCTTTCACTTTTTTACTCAGATTGGATGCCAGTGAGATCCAGGTGGATGAAACCATCTTCCTGCTGGAGTCATACATCGAGAGCACCATGAAGAGACCATGACCCAGAAGAAGCCACTCCTTAAAAATTCTGGAGGGAAAGAACGAAGAACAAAGGAGGTGCCTGGATGCATTCTTTGCCGCAGGCCAAGCTGCAGATTCTTGTACTAAGACACCCTCTCTACACCTGTCACCCAGGAGACACCTGCAAGAATTTGACCTGTTTGTTAAAGTCGGCTGATTCTGTATTCTCCTGTCAATTCTCGGCACTGGAAAGAACCTTAAATCAACCGAAGTCATCATCTATCAGATGCCGTCAAGATGTCTGCCAAGCCTATTTGAGTGTATCTGGCAGTAGGGAACATCTTCCTAAACAATTGGTTCCATTTCCAAAAGTCAGTGGCTGTTCTTTGTTCTGTTGAGCTTTAATTTTTAATGCACACACACACATTGTGTAGGGAATGTGAAAAATTACCATGGGACTGGGAGGAACAGCTGTTTTCAGGGCTAGCAGGTGGAGTGGCCTAAGCAAGCACACCAGAATCTGTGGATAGAAGCAACATTTGCCAGCCCCAGGCCTCAGCATGTCTGAAATTATGTATGTAGAACACCGCACATTGCCTGGCATATGGTAAGCTCATGATAAATTATTGCCTTTCTCTTCTCCATGGTTCCTTAAAAGTGGCAACTCTAAATTCTCTTCCAGTATCATGGATATAGTTTGTACCAGCAGCTTCAGTTCATTGAAAGAAGTTACTGTGTTATAATCTCTTCAGTTTTTTCTTACCAGTAGTTGTTCTAATGCCTAAAACATTTGGGGGCCAACTAATTGCCAACTACTACACTAAATATACCAAGATAAATAAGACACCATCTGTGTCTTCAAGCCACTTAGCATCATTTACCGAGCACCCATTATGTGCCAAGGAGTGGGCCAGGCCTTTAGGCATACAAAGATGATCAGCCTTGAGCCTAGTGGGAAGACAGAAGTGCATGGAAGAAAGAGGCGGAGGCATCAACAGTTGAAAAGTGCCTTGTACAGAGAGGCAAGAAAAGGAGAGAGTGCATAGAGGAAGTGACATTTAATCTGTAGTTAGATAAAAGGTTTTAACCAGGTGAAAGGGGGGAAGAATCCCAGGGCTGGAGCAGCCGTGTTCATGGAGAAATGACCAATAGCTTAAGACTGGAAACTAGGGCATGGGCCCTGCCAGAATCAGGCTGGAGAGGCAGGGGAGGCAGGGAGTGGTGGGCGCTGGCCGCGCTGTGCTAAGGGATTTATCTTTTCCTAAGAGCAGTGGAGGCCGGCGCCGCGGCTCAATAGGCTAATCCTCCGCCTAGCGGCGCCGGCACACCGGGTTCTAGTCCCGGTCGGGGCGCCGGATTCTGTCCCGGTTGCCCCTCTTCCAGGCCAGCCCTCTGCTGTGGCCCGGGAGTGCAGTGGAGGATGGCCCAGGTGCTTGGGCCCTGCACCCCATGGGAGACCAGGAAAAGCACCTGGATCCTGGCTCCTGCCATCGGATCAGCGCGGTGCGCCGGCCGCAGCGCGCCGGCCGCGGCGGCCATTGGAGGGTGAACCAACGGCAAAGGAAGACCTTTCTCTCTGTCTCTCTCTCTCACTGTCCACTCTGCCTGTCAAAAAAATAAAAAAAAAAAAAAAAAAAAAAAAAAATAAGAGCAGTGGAAAGCAGGGGGTCAGATCTGGGGTTTAGGAAGATCACTGGCAGCTCTGTCGGGAACGAACTGGTGATGGCAGGACTATTGCGATGCAACAGTGTTTCAGGCAGAATATAAGGCAGGCTTGATCAAGGGCAGGAGAGGCTGGAAAGGGAGCGTAAGAGGGGTTTGTGAAAGTTTAAGGAGGTAAAATCTGCTGCACTGGGCGGTCAGTTGAATGAGAGAGTTAAAAATCCTTAAAAATACTTGTTAGGTCTCCTGCGTAGAGGCATGCAATGAATTCTACCTGCCGTGACAGGTGTGTGCGGAGTGCGGGGGGGGGGGGGGGGGGGCTTACAGTTCAGCCCACAGCTGGTAGCAGGTGACCTGTGAGCTCGGAAGTGCTTCGGGCTGGGATATTGTCCTAAACGGAGAAAAGAGGAACAGGAGGAAAACAGGAACTGAGGATTCACAGGTATCGGTGGCTTATTAACAATGCACCCTGGGATCACCCCCAAGGGTTGCGCCTAAATTGCCGGAGATGGCCCGGAAACCTGGCTTCCTTCTGACCCCGCAGAAGGCTCCCGAAAGGCGCCGCTGGGCCGCCAGAGGGCGCCAGGGGCGGCGGCGAGCACAGGGTCGCGTCATGGCCGCGGCGCGAGTGCAGCTGCTCTTGGCCGGGCGTCTGGAGTCCGTAAGCTTCGCGCGAAGCGTGTGTGGCCTCCTGGGCGCTGGGCCCGGGTCGGGGCCGTGGCCCACGTACTGCGGCTTGGAAGGAGGACGACTGATCCTCTCGGACAAGCCATTCCCAGGCTCCGCGGCTAAGCTTCCGCTCCAGGTCGGCAGGAGGAGGGAGGCCCGCGACGGGTGGGGAAGGTCCGAAACAGGGACTGCGACCGGGTGGGAAACCTCCGGCCAGAGGCCGAGCGTTCCGGCCTCCCTCTCCGCGCGGTGGCCCTGCCCTGCTCCTGGAGCTTTAACCCAGGCTCCCTCCCACCAGCGACCCCCTTTCTGCCCTTTTGCGGCCCTGGACCAGCAGCCCAGGCCCCCCGGGGCTGAGCTGCCCGCGAATCGAGGTGTGGATCTGGGTGTGGCCGTCATTCTGCAGTCCAGCGACCAGACTGTCTTGCTGACCAGAAGGACACGCACCCTCCGCGTTTCCCCCAACCTCTGGGTACCCCCAGGTGAGCACTCTGGGGACAAAGCCCCAAGGCCAGAGAAGAAACCTGCCTCCCCCCACCCCCCACCCCACGTTGCACTTCCTAGTCTTGGAATGGAGACGCGGGCCCGGAAGTGTGGCCTGTCCACATTGCTGCAGCTGCATCTGGAGACCCCTGGAGGTGGGGCTTCTGGTGAAGACAATCACCTTTCACCTCTTGGTCCCCACTCTCCTTGCAGGTGGACATGTGGAACTGGATGAGGAGGTACCAGTCAGCGACCCAACGGGCACCCCTCCACTGGGTGTGGGCTGAGGACAGGGGGAGCAAAAGGCATTGGCCGCCTGACCCGCCCTCTCTCCTACTCCCAGCTGCTGGATGGAGGACTCCGAGAGCTCTGGGAGGAGACCGGACTGCGGCTGGCACAGGGCCAGTTCTCTTGGGTCCCTCTGGGACTATGGGAGGTGAGCCAGGGACCTGGGGACCATTCTTTCCCACTTAACCAAGAGACCTCAGCAAACACTCTGCTACCACCACGGCCACTGCCGCCACCAGCAGCAAGTCCGCAGACACTGCCTTAGCCACAGAGGAAGTGGGAGAGGCCCAAACCCTCACCTGTGTCCCTGGTGCACCGTGTCTACCATCCACTTCCTCAGCTGTGGGCCCACCCCAGAGCTGTACTTACTAAGTCTCAGAATCAGAGACAGGAAGCCCTCTCTTTTGCCTTTCTTCTCAGTCTGCCTACCCGCCTAGGCTGAGCTGGGGTTTCCCCAAATACCATCACATTGTTCTCTATCTACTCGTCATCTCCCAGGAGTCACAGCAGCAGCTGCAGGTAAGGCTGGCTAGGGAGGAAGGAAATGGGGCTCAGGGGATCACAGGGGGCGGGGCAGAGACGCCAAGAGCATCCAGTAGTTCCTCCCCTGTCTTTAAGCATTCCGCTTGCAAGTAGGCTAGTATCAAGGACAGGCCTCCCAGGGAGAAGCCAGGACTGAGGGGTCCTGTCTGACCCTAGGCCAGGATCCAACCAAACCCAAGTGAAGTGAGTGCTTTTATGTGGCTGGGACCAGATATCGCAGCTGCAGTGGCTGCCACAGAGGATGGGACAGAAGCACCCAGAATCCTCCCCGCGGACCTACCACTCTCTGTGGGGTAAGAACTTTTCCCTGAGCTCTACCCACCCCACCACCCCATTGATTTGCTGAGAATTAAGAAACCACATGAGATCAAGGACTCCAGCTGCCTAGCATGGAGGTCCAGGGTTTGACTCAAAGCTCTCCCATGGGAGCCAGTCCCTTAACCCTCCTTGAACAGTGCTTCCTTTTTGTAAAATGAGGTTCACAGCTAGCCACCCACCTGCTACAGTAGTTGAGAGTAGATGACCTAACATATGAAAGCCCAACAAGGCAAAGCCCAGACAGGAGCTGTCCCCATGCAGAGCAGTGGAACTAGAGGAGGGCAGGGCCCGAGCCGTGGCGCTCCCCACATCCACGCTGCTGCGGAACACCCCCCCTACCGCAGAGGACAACCCGGAGAGAGTCAGCTCTGGCACCAAGTTTGCCCTCGGGCTCTGGCTACAGCAGCTGGGCCGGTAAAGGTGAGGAATGGGAGGGTTCTGTGGTGCTGGGCTGGAGTGGTCTGGTGGTGGTCTGGGCGGGGGCACGGGAGGGTTCTGTGGCACTGTGGAGTGCTCTGGTGGTGTTCGGGGTGGGGGGGCATGAGAGGGTTCTGTGGCGCTGGGCTCCAGTGGTCTGGTGGTGTTATGGGCGGGGGCGCGAGGGAAAACCGACTACTCTGGGAAGTCCTCAGTGTGGCAAGCGTGGACCCAGGTCACAAAGGAAGAACAGAACGTGGACCCTCCTCCCCTTCCCCAGCGCTCTGGAAAGGGAAGTGGGTAATCCCCTCCAGAGCCCACCTCCACGACACTCACAGAACATTCACAACCTTTATTATGGGTGAGAAACCTGCTACAACTTTGGGAATACAAAGTAAAATTGCAACACGTATGCTAGGCCCTGGAGGAGCCCGACAAAGGAGGGCACGTGGGTCCCCCCACTTCCCAGGAAAGGTGCAGAATAAGCCAGGCCTGCCTACAGGGCCATGGGCCTCTAGACACTTAGGCCCCAGGCTAGTCAGCTTAAGAAACACTGTGAACTTAAATATATAAATAGAGACCCAGGCAAGAGGCTAGGCCCTGCTCCCAAACCCCTGGGGATCGCGGCTAAGGCCTCATCTCCTCAGTTGTACTGGGAAGTAGGAGGTTGGGAAAGTCATCTTTGGAGTATTTTGGTTTTTCTTGTTTATGTACAAAATATCTGCAACCCAAAATAGAGTTCTCTGTCCATCTCTGAAATCGCCTGTCTCAGTTTCTCCATCTCATCTGCATGGCCAAAGGGAGCGGAATAGACAAGAAGAAACAATGAAAGTTTGGGTTTGGGGGATGGGAAGAGAGGGCCCCTCTGCCAAGAGGCTCTAGACAGAGTAGAGGCCAGGGGTTCAGCCCCTCCCCCCGACTCACACCCCCTCCTGTTGGCCTAGGTACCCAAAGGAATGTGCAGCCATCTGAAGACTATTTCCAAAAATAGACCCCTCCATGTCCTTGAAGAGGTTAAATATTAACCCTTTGGGTGCTGGCCTTGTCAGGCAAAGATGAGGCCACCAGTAGGTCTCCAGGAAAAGTCAGGCCTGACCTCTGACCACAGTCCCCAGAAAGGTCAGGCGGCCACAGCATACCTGCTGCGGGGTGGGGGGCAGCACAGGCTCCACAGTCCAAGGGACTCAGTCCAGGGAGATGATGTCAGACCGGCAGCCAGTCAGGGAGGGCCCTGAGGGCAGCGGGCCTCCGTGCCCCTCCCTCAAAGCCCCCCCGGGGGCCACAATGCTGCTGACCCGGCCAGGAGGAGTCGCTGGAGTGGAGCTGCGGTGTGAGCTCCCCAACGAGGGGGCCAGTGGGCCCAGGAAGTGGGAGGGGGTCCCTCGGTACTGGAAGAAGTGGCCAAGGGCATCCTGCTCATCCAGAGAGGTGATGACAGAGGGGCCATAGTGCTGGGAGGGATGAAGGGCACAGTGTCAGACTTTACCCCTGACTCAGCCCCGCCTCCTGGTCACAGGGTCCAGAACTGTTATGGGGACCCTAAGGTGTTCCCTGGGAGGCAAGAAGCCTCTCTCTGACTCTTCCCCCTGCCTCCCTGCCACGCCACCCCTTTTCCAGGCCTTGACACAGCCCTTCCGGGTTGCTAGGTTCTTAGCCTTTGTGGGTGTCTGAAATATGTGGACTGTCCAGTTGGGGCAGGTCTGGTGCTCTAAGCATACACAGGTTGCAGGGGGGGGTGGGGGGGGGGCAGGGCCAGAAGCTCACCAGAATCCCTCGGGACAGAACAGTAAGGGATCCAGGAAGATCTAAGTGGCAATCTGAGGAAGCACCAGTGCTGCCCGCACCCCACCTCCCCTGAGAAAAGAGGATCCGGGTCTCTGTGGGGACCCCAATCAGAGCTGCACGCAAGAAGGGACCACGTACCTGACTCTCCGTCTGAAGGAAAGAAAATAAGTCTAAACCTGGGAGGAAAGGGAAAATACAAATCAACCTCCTGTCCCACTCTCTTAGCACCAAGACAGGCAAGTCTTTGGGATTCTGGCCCCTGGTGAGCAGCAAGGGCTCTGCTGGGCTCGGGGAAGTGGGTAGCAGGGTCGTACCTTGTATGTCGGCCCCCAGGGGGAAGGCAGGTGGGTACTCGTGCAGTGGGAGACTGGACAGGAAATCCCCGCCCAGTGTGCCCATAGCAGGGCTGCGCAGCACCGAAGACGGCTGATGGCCAGACGTCAGGACCCTGCGAGTGGAGAGAAGGAGCTGGGGCAGCCGGCGAACCCCAGATGCCCCACCCCGCCCAGCTCCCCAAGGGTCCTCTCTGTCCCCATTGCCTTTCCCTTGGCCCCAGGTTTGCCCGGTGAGCAGAGAGCACTACTGACTTCTGCTGTGCCCTCCCTAGTGCGGAAGTCAGCCTACTTTCTCATACCCTTTGCTTCCCGGCAGGGCTGGGATGGCAGCCGAGGTGACAGGACAGTGCTTCTTGGTGGGAGGCAGATCCTCCTCATCTGAGGAGCTCTCTATTGTCAAGTCAATCACTTCCACCTTCTTCTTATTCTCTGCTGGAGCTCCCTCTTGGACTGGGCTGTACTGGGGGCCTGCAAGTGGTGAGAAGACTGTGTCTCAGAGAAAAGGCCAGCCAAGGTCTAGCTCATCTGGGGGACAGGGGGTCACTCACCATCCAGCCCATACCCTGGCGGGGGGCAAACCTCAGACGCCTCCTTCTTGGGCTTCATTGGGCACCAGGAGCCATCTTCCATGAACTGGATCTCATCACAGTCCGAACAGGAATTTAGAATCTCCATGAATAAACTGTGGGAGGGAAGAGGTGGAAATTCATGGGGCTGGGAATTGAGTGCCACAGTGGCCAGAGAGATGCAGGACTCACCTTCCTGGGCAATAGAGGGATCCTGTCCAAACTACGGGACCTCCTGGAGTTGTTGCAATCAAATAAGAGCTTTACAAACTGTATGTTTTAAAGTGAACACAAGCTGAGCCCTAGCTATGCATGGTCTAGGAACAAGACAGAAGCAGAGAGGCAGAACTCCACCAACCACCCCCAAAAAGGCACTGGGACCAAGAACCATACATAGGCTCAGGACAGGGCCTGAGACCAGCCAGATCAGCATCCCCAGGCCCTCAGGAGGACCTCACCGCCTCCTTAGTGGGAGGTCAGGGAGTCGTTACGAGCGATACACTGGCCTCTGCTGCTAACAGTGCAGCCTTGAGTAAGAATCTCCAAGCCTGAGTTACCCCCTCTGTAATGAAGTACCTACCTCACAGGGTTATGAGGAAGATCTAGTGCAATAATGCATGCAAAGTGCTTAGCATCAAGATGCCTTATCTATACTAAGTCCTTAATGTCACCACATATGTGGAGTAGTAGAGGGACACGGTGAGACGTGGGGTTCTCCTGGTGAGGAGAAATAAGCCATATGTACTAAAGGGGGTCTGGGGCAGGTGTTTGGCCTGGTGGTGAAGATGCCTGCAGCCCCTATCACAGTGTCTGAGTTCAGCTCCTGGCTCTGGCTCCCAGTTCCAGCTTCCTGCCATTGCAGATCCCGGGAGGCAGCAAATGATGGCTCAAGAAGTTAGGTCCCCTCCCTCTAGCTGGGAGATCTGGGTTGAGTTCCCAACTCCCAGCTTCAGCCTGGCCCACCAGCCCCAGCTGTTGGGGGCATTTTGGGGGAGCAAACCAGCAAATGAGAGCTGTCTTGCTGTCTCTCTGGCTCTCACATAAAGGTAAAACAAGGCGAGGTAGAGGAGATAGCCTAGGTAAAAGGAAGCAGAGTGGCCCTACCCATCAATGATAAGAGATTCATAGGGTGCCTTCTTGTCACACACAGGACATGTCCACGTTGGCTTCTTCTCATTCATCTGCAGATAAAGGGCAGCATCGAAGCTCTGCAGGTGGGCGCAGGTGAGGGCGCGACAAGGAACAGTGAGGCGCATTTTGCCGAGCTGCGGAGAGCAGTTCTCCAGTCAGAGGCCCCACTCTGGAATCTGCAGGGACCCCCCTCCTGAGTCCAGAGGATTAGCCCCACTCCCTCCCTTGTCCCTTATCCCCCGGTACCCACCGGGCACATGAGTGATACCCGGAGACTCGTGGTAGCCACCTCACTGTCAGGGTCAGCGGTCAATTTCTCCTTGACTGAAACAACAGTGAGGGCAGAATCATGGGGTCAGCAAGGCTGGGAGAGACCCAGGAGTTGGTGAGGCCAGAAGCAGATGGCTCTGGCTGAGAGGCAGCTGGGTAGAGTCTTTGGGGGCCCATGGGATGTCACATGGGGTTGGTCTGGAATCTGTATTACGAAGGCTGGACGCTGGGAGGATTTCTACATCCCTAAAGGTGCTTAATCATAGCTAGGTGACCTTTGGCTGTGTTAGAAAGGATCTAGAAGGAACTGAACATCATGTGAGGTGAGATTAGTTGATCCCCAACACTTTCCAGTTCAGAGAATCCATATTCTAGCAGGGCTGGAGTTGGGCTCTGTGAGGTGCAAAGCAGATGTATGACTGGGAATGCACTGGAGTTGGCCAACTTCTCAACCTCGAAGACTGGAAGGAGAAGGGATGAGGTTCATGAAAGCAAAGTTGTCAGAGATGGGGAATGGGTTTGGTTATGAAAGCTAGAGGACCAGGAAGATTTGACTGTAGATCAGAGGGAGAAAGGGAAGGATGCTACTCACTCAGTGCCCGGGAATGGTCTGGGTTCCGGATACCCTTTGCTCTGAGTTTTTGTAGAAGGGTCCCTGCAGTCAACTGCCTCACCAGGTACACAGACAAGGAGTAATTCTACTTGGAGGTGGGAGGGACACAATTAGCCTGGACTTCTTAGACCACCATCACCCCCATTTGTCCCAGGAGGGCCAGAGACAGTGGGTTAATGGCAGAGAGACCCGTAAGAGGAGGATATTTCCCCAACCCAGGGCACTAGATGGTTCCCCTTTACCCACTGCAGGCTTTGCCAGACACCTGCTTCAGCTGTGCTCACCCGTCCAAACTCAGATGACCAATTGACCACGATGGTGTTGGGAACAGTGGCTGAGAGTCGAGCCAGGGGTGTGATGTTGATTGGGCGGCTGGGCCTCTTGGGCTCAGCCCCATTTTTGGTGGGGGGAAGGTAGCCCTGAGGAAGGGAGGGACCGGTCAGTGGAGAAGGGGCTCTGGGAAGGCGCTCTGCTCTAACAATAAAAAGCATCTTGGCGGGTTACTCACTCCCTGGAGGGAAGGCCAGCCCACTCACTGCCCAAAGGGCTGGGGGCCCATTCACAAAACTGGGGCACTGTCTAGGGTTGTGTGTGGGGTTCACTCCTGGGGAGAAAGAAGAGCTTATTTATTGATCAAGGAAACAGGCACCCACTCACTAAGGCCCAGGGGGACAGGAGCACCTCACTTCTTCCAGCTCTGAGCTCTGGGGAAATAACTTGTAAGAAGTCTTCCCTGAATCATTATTCTTCCTCTGGGTTCTGCCAGAACTGTAGTTCAGCTCCATCTAAATACTCTCTAGAGGGGCCGGCACTGTGGCGTAGCGGATAAAGCTGCTGCCTGCAGTGCCAGCATCCCTTATGGGTGCCAGTTCAAGTCCCAGCTGCTCCACTTCTGATCCAGCTCTCTGCTGTGGCCTGGGAAAGCAGTAGAAGATGGCCCAACTGCTTGGGCCTCTGCACCCATATGGGAGACTCCTGACTTTGGATCGGCGCAGCTCTGGCCATTGCGGCCAATTGGGGAGTGAACCAGTGGATGAAAGACCTCTCTCTCTCTCTCTC